GCCTCTCACCGCCCCTGAGCCTCTGGCCTGTACCCCAGCTCTGTATGCACAAATAAATAAATAAATCTTTAAAAAAAAAAAAAAAAAAAGAGGGACCTGACCACAGTGTGTCAGGTCTTAAATGCCTTAAATGACATTTAGACTTCATTTTCTGTAGGCAATGGAGATCCAGCCGTGTTTTTGAGGAGAGTTGAAGATAATGTGTTCTAGAGATCATACCAAGCAATGGGGTGGGGAAGGTGGCCATAGTGGAAGGCCTCAGTGCTGTACTTCAGGAGAGCTGTAGTTATTCCAGCTACTGGTATAGTGGTTTCCTATAAAGTCACCATAGGAATGATGACTCCCACATGGGAATTGCTGAAATCACTTTCTAATATGTGTACACCTTGATCTCTTAAAATTTACTTGCCAACTGATGTTTTACTTTTTATTTTTTATAGTAAATGCTTATTAGATATGTTGTTATCAGTATTGGAGTGTCGCTGCTTACACACTTAGCTGCGTATACAAAAATACATAGTAGAGTAACCTTTTGAAAAATGAAAATTAAATCAAAGAACTTTAACACTTAAAACCTTCCAGTGGTTTGCCATTGACTTGGAATGAAATCTTAAGCCTTCCCTATGTTGTCAAGGCCCTGTGGTCTGACTCCACCTTTGCTCTCTCATTTCCTGTTCCTTTCCTCTGGACTTTTACATAAAACTGTGTTGTACCTTTTCTTATGTCCAACTTATTCCTCTTTTGGAGGGACTGTTACTGGGATTTTCTACCCCTTTCCCATTTCATTGTTTTAAATAATTCTTTTCATTATTATGTGTCAACTCAGGCATCACAGCTTTCAGTGAGTCCTTCTCTTACTGTTCAATCTGTGTTAACCATTTCTCCAAGTATACAGCAGACTCTCTTGTATTGTTTTCATTTCAATCATAATATTTATTACTGTTTGAATATATCTCATCTGTTATTGACTGTTCTTTTACCTGTAGAGTGTGATTTTGGAGAGGGCAAATGACCATATCCGTAGGATCTAGAACAGTATGTAGTATATAGATGCACTGACATGCACAAATAAATGTTAAATGAAAAAAATATGAGGTGGGTGATACTAGAGATGAAGGAGAAAGGACAGGGAGAGAGATGTAAAGGAGAGTGTCCCTGGGACTAGAGACCCTATTTCCAAGTCCTTTGGTTGTTGTTCAGGCTCACTGAGGAGTAAGTGTAGTCATTGAAACATCCCTGTCTGACTGTTACTAAGATTATCCCATGGACTCTTCATTTTTAGAGTTGTACTGCTGAATTTCCCAAGATGTTCCAAAGCAAGCAAAGTTTCATTATGGAAGTCAGTGGGCCTTGAGGCCTGTCTGATGGAGCTGAAGGGCCCCACCAGGGGAGCTGGTGAGTGGTGAAGCCCTTGCAGGTCTCACCAGTCCACACTGATTCCTGGCTGAGGAGAAACGCCATTTGTAGGGATGCACTGAACATTACCTTTATTCTAGGTGGTATGCTCACCTTGCCACACCTCAGAAAGACAGAGGCTGCTCCAAAATAAAAGACACATTCTGGCCTGCACATTTCAACCCTCCCCATTCCAAGCAGCCGCCCCAGACATGAAGAATAGCTCTTGCCTTTCCTCACAGGTTGCTATCGGCTGGTGGACTATTTGGAAGGAATCCAGAAGAATTTTGATGAGGCTGCCAAGGTGTTGAAGTTCAACTGTGAAGAAAACAAACACAGTGATAGCTGCTATAAACTAGGGGCCTATTATGTGACTGGAAAAGGTAAGGCGGGTCTACTTTCTTTCTCTTTGTCATATAACAAATGACCCCAACACATATTTTTTCCCCCCAAATTTTCTATGGATCAGGAATTCGGAAGTTACCTGCCTGTGTGCTTCAGGGTCTCCTGTGCGATTGTGGTCTTAACGTTAGCCATGAGGCTCCTTGAACCCAAACAGGATAGCCAATGAAAATCAATACTAGACATCTTGCCAAGTAACTGAAAACCAAAGATAAAGCGAAAATCTTAAAAATCAGAGAAAAAGACACACTGAGAACAAAGGAGAACAACCACTGACTTTTCATCAAGACAACATAAGCCAGACAAAAGAACAACATCTTTTGATTGCTGAAAGAAAAACTGTCACACTTGAATTCTGCTTTAACAAAAATATCTTTAAAAATGAGGATGAAATAAATTCATGTTCTGATAAACAGAAGCTGGGAGAATGAGTCATTAGCAGACCTACACTAGAAGAAAGTTAAGGTTGTTTGAGGTGAAGGAAGATAATGACAGATGGAAACCAGAATCCATACAAAAGAATAAAGAACACTAGAAGATGTGTGTAAATAAGACATTCCCCCTCATTTCTGAATGTCTGAAAAAAGACTGTTTAAAGCAAAAGTAATGGCAGTGTACTATGAGTCTTATGTAGAAGTAAACTAAAAAAAGTAATATATAAAACATGACAGTAAGACTAAAAAAAGATGGAAATAAGGTAAATGAAAGTTTGCTTTTGTAAGGGACTTAGATTATATGTAAAATGCTATACTAAGAATATATGATAGATTGATAGATTGTAAGTTAAGGATGTTATCACTGGAAATTTATAATCGATGATCAAAAAGAGAAGTATAACTAAAATACATGATGAGAATGAAATGACTAGAAATACATAGTTCAGAAGAACACAAGAGAGGAGAAAAAGGAGCAAAAAAAAACTAGGAACAAATTAGATTGTAGATTTAAACCCATCTTTGTCAATAATTGCATTCAATATAATTTAAATAATAAAAGACAGATTGGTCAGGCTGGGTATGAAATCAAGTCCTGTGCACTGTTCAGATATAAATGTGGTAGGAATACATTCTCAGAACTGAAAGAACTCAGAGGACATAGAATTTTTGATCTTTTCTTGAAAAATCTAGCCAGTAACCAATAAACAGGTGAGTCAGATCATTTAGGAGTGGGAAAGCTCTTGGGAAAAGATGATTAGAATGAACACCTGCTCTTTAGGGTCCCTAAATGGAATGTAAATGATAAAGACTTTTATGGTATAGAAGACCCATAACATTTACTGAACATATTTCTTTGACAGGTTCTTTATAAGAACATATTTAAGCTTCCAACGTAGGAAATAGATACTTTAATCTCTTTAACAGACGAGGAAAACTGAGGCTCGTAAAGAGAAGACAACAGATAAACTGTTGACAGGAGAGCCAGAGCTGGGCCTAGGTTTCCTCCTCTAGAGCCCAGGCTTCACAGACACTGTGCTATGCTCTCCTCCTAAGTTGAAGTAACTTCATGAAAAAGTGGGGAAGGATAGATGGGAGGAAGTGTGAGATGCCCATATCCTCATCTCTTATAGTTGTGAGTCAATACTATCAGGAACTTAGTTAAGAAAATTAAAATGACTAATCTTTTCATATGTTTAACAATCTCTCTATACACAAAAATTCCCTTTTAGGAAATTTCTCTGGTAAAAAAGTATTCACTTAAAGTTCATCAGTTTCTTCAGTTTCAATTCAATGTATATATATTTTTTGATAAATTCAAGTAAAATAAAAGTTAACTTTTAAATTTACAAATAGCATATGTAATCAAGTTTTTCAAAGTACTTTTTATCCATTCTTCCAGCCAGCATTTAGTCAGAACACATACTACAAAGATAATGGATTGGTGTTTTCTTAATGAAAACGTTAGTTTTTTCCAGGTAGTTGATTCAGAGAGAATTCTTTTAAAGTTATATTTAAAAGATAGTTTAAGTGTTTATATTTTTTGAGAATATACATGAGCTGTGGCCTCATGGCATAGTTATTAAACAGCCACATAATGCATGAAGGTAAGTGTGACAGATGTTTGAGGAAAAGTACAGGGTGCAATAATTATGTATCAGGGTTCTCACCTAGAATAGAAGTCAGGTAACCCCAAAGAAGAGGCGATTTTCTATTTAAAAAAAAAAAAAGGAAAAAGTAAACCCTGTCATCATCACTCCGTAAAATGACCTGTTAGTACAATCCCATTGCTCCCAAAATTAAATACACAGTCCTTAAGACCCAGCGTGATCTGGCCTCTGCTTACCTCTCCAGCTTCCTTCCCAGGTGATTTCTGGGGCCTAGCCGTGTGGGCTACTTTTCTCTTACTCCTACTTTCTGGAACAGTGCTTACCCTATACATTATTTTCCTTCTTTCTTCCCTTATATCACACTTACTGTTTCTTCTTTGGGTTTACCTGACCTCTGTTTTAGGTGAGAGCCCTGATACATGCTTATAGCACCCTGTACTTTTCCTCCATACACTTGTCACACTTATCTTCATACATTGTGTGGCTGTTTAATATCTGTGTCATTAGGCCACAGATCTGTAAGGGCAGCAACAGTGATTGTTCCCCAGAACCTAACATAGTAGTTGGCAAATAATATTCAGTATATATTTAAATTACCATTCAGTGAAGTGTTTATAAGATGTCATGTTCTTCCTGTAACCCCAAAAGATAGATGTTTTTCCCACTTTTCACCACCTGTAGCTGTTTGGACTTCCTTATAAGACATCAAAGGAGCTCATGGCTAAAAAAGCGGAAGAGGTGTGACCACCTTCCTTTTATGAAGGCTGCCTCAGGTCAGAGTTCATGAACTGCATTCAGGAATTGCTCCTTAATTTTGGCCTGAGACATCTAGGTTTTGCCCTACCTTGATTTACTTTTCACTCTTCTTCCCAGGAGGACTGCAACGTGACTTGAAAGCGGCCTCCAGCTGCTTTCTAATGGCCTGTGAGATGCCCGGAAAGAAGTCTGTGGAGGCCTGTCACAATGTTGGTCTTCTGGCACATGATGGACAAGTCAATGAGAATGGCCAGCCCGACCTGGGAAAGGCCAGAGACTACTACACAAAGGCCTGTGATGGTAGCTATGCCTCCAGCTGCTTCAACCTCAGTGCCATGTACCTGCAGGGCGCCCCTGGCTTTCCCAAGGACATGGGCCTTGCATGTAAATACTCTATGAAAGCTTGTGACTTAGGCCATATCTGGGCCTGTGCCAATGCCAGCCGCATGTACAAGCTGGGAGATGGTGTCGATAAGGATGAAGCCAAAGCTGAGGTGCTAAAAAATCGAGCCCAGCAACTGCACAAAGAACAGCAAAAAAGTGTCCAGCCCTTAACATTTGGGTAATGTGGGCCACCTTCTACAGAGCAGACAGCTGGCGGCTGCCCCTTCCTCTTTCTGACCTTGGTCGTCCATCTGTTGGAGCAGGAAGACTTGGACTTGATATCAAGTGCTCTGAACACATAGGCCCATTATCCCAATATGTCACCTATTGGGACATAGCCTGAAATGTTTATTTTCAGTATTCCTTTATCTGGTGTGATCTGTGAAGACAACATTTATAGGGTACTGAGTTTTTAAGACTTACAGCTCTTTGAAAAACAGGAGCAAACTACAGAGCCAAAGTGATCTTGTGATGGAGAGGATTGCTGAAGGGCAGGAAGTTGGAAAAGTTAAAGACACAGGGCCTAAAGGAATCAGACGACATGATTATGATTATTTTAGCTGAGAGGGTTTGGAAATCAGTAAGTATCTTGATTTACATAATAGAGGGCTTAAGGAGCTAAGAACAGTTAAATAGTCACGACTGCCACCCGCTAACTTATGTAATCATTGGTGTGGGCTTCCTTCTTGCCTCTAGAATCAGATATTTCAATAAATTTATAGAGTCAGAGGGACGTGACATGAGATGTAGAAATTAAAGGTGGTTGTGGCAAAGGAGATGAAATGCAAAAGCCTATGTTTAGTGGAGAAATTCACAGTTAAAAATCAGCATGCCTAGGGCCACTCACCTGGCTTTTCTCATCACAGAGGGAGAAATAATTCCCTTCCTAAGGCCACTTCAGTTACTATGAACAAGGACTTTGTGACACATCTGTCCCTCAGAACTGAATCTTTTTAACTATCCTTGTGAATAAACTGTTTTGGTTGATTAGTAATTTGATTAGTGTTTTTAGTGTTCATTACAGATTCTGGGTAGGGTAGAGATTATGTTCTACTTAGTATTTGTGGCCTTTTCTGTTTGCTTTTTTTCTTCTCTCCCTAACTTGCCACCAGGGGGCATCCTGACATTTTCCTGCTGGTCATAAGATCTTATTTCTGTCACCACCTACTATTTGGGGACTTCCAGTTTTGCACCTGTTCTAGAAAAAGTCTTGTAATGTGCATTAAGCTTAATAAGCACAGCCAACCTCTCAAGCTGGTAGAGGAGAGGGACTTTTCCAATTAATATGCAAATTTACTTGTTTTTTTAGTTATTTCCCTCCAGCTTGCCCACAATTTATTTTGAAAATATAAATTAGCTTTTGTTGTGTTTGTAGCCCAATAAGTATATGAAAAATGATCAATATCAGTAGTCATTAGGAAAATGAAACGTATACCACAATATGATAATTACTTCACATCTATCGGGATGGCTGCTATCAAAATAAAAATGTGCTGGCTAGGATGTAGAGAAATTGAAATCCTATATATTATTGGGAATATAAAATGATGTAGCCATTATGGAAGACAATATGGTGGCTCCCCAGTAAATTAAACAGAATTGCCACACTATCCGGGAATGTTACTCCTAGATACCTCTCTAAAAGAATTGTTAGAAAGGTCTCCAAGAAATATTTGCAGACTTATGTTCATAGCAGTATTTACATAGCCAAGAGCAACTCAAATATCTACTGATGGGTGAATAGGTAAAAGATGTCTGTACATACAATGGGATATTTGTCTTTAAATGGAAAGGAATCCTGACAGAGGCCTCAATATGGATGAACCTTGAAGTCATGCTAGGTGAGGTAAGCCTGTCACAAAAAGACAAAAAGACACTAATATCACTTATGTGACATATCTAAATAGAGACCAAAAGAAAGATGATTCTCACTGGCTAAGGGGAGGAGTTGTTTCAATTTTGCAAGATTTGAAAGTGCTGGGTGGAGGTTACTTGCACAAAAAAGTGTAAATATCAGCACCACTGAAGTACATGGTCAATTTTAAGTGGTATGTCAGTTTTACCAACATTTAGTTGCTTTAAAATGGAAAGAAGTTTCTGATTTTACTTCCCCCTGTACCCTCTTAAAAGTCATGTGCTTTTTATTAATTTAGTCCCCCATCGGGGGTATGTACACTCAGTGTAAGACATTCCCTGATGTGCTCCTCACTTAATAATGCTCAATTTCCTTTTACTCTTCTACTTTCTCTCCCTTATATCTAGGACACTCACCTGTAAACATTCTTTGGTCCAGTGCTATTTCTAGTCACTTGTCACAGAATCACATCTTTCTTTTTATTTATTTATTTTTAAAGATTTATTTATGCATACAGAACTGGGGTACAGGCCAGAGGTGTGGGGGTTGAGAGGCTTCACCCAACAGAGTGGGGAGTAGAATAGGCAAATCGACGAAGCACACTGCTGAGGGGAGCAATGGTGAGGGGTGCAGGGTGGTCAGGAGAGGTCTGCCACACCATGTGGGTCACCTCCGGGCGGGGATCAAACTTATGCTGAAGTGACTTTAGCTTCTTAGTGCTGTGCTTTAACCTGCTGCACCACCAGGGAGAGCCCCTCTTTTCTTTTTCTTTTTTAAACTGATGTTTTTTTTCAATAATTTTTTTAAGATTTATTTTATTCATGTATATAGAACTGGGGTAAAGGACAAAAGTGTTGGGAGGGTGGGGGGGAGAGAGAATTCACCAGAGGCAGAGCAGAGAACAGAACAGGCAGATCAACGAAGTACACTGTTGAGGGGAGCAGCAGGCAGGTCAGGAGAGGTCTACCTAGCCTTGTGGATCACCTCCCTGGCTGGGGATCGAACTCACACTGAAAAAGTCTACATGAGCTTCACAGTGCTGTGCTTTAACCTGTTGCACTACCAAGGATGGCCCAGAATCACATCATTTCAATATAACAATAGGTTTTGTAGTTCTGAGTAATTAAGTGTTGTTTGTTTTGTTTGTTTTCCTGAAAAGTTAATTTGACCTATGACAGATGTATTGGGTTATGCTTTTATAGACAGTTTTCTGCTTGGAGCTAATGGTATTGCTTTTGTACTGAGATACAGCTGGGAACAATGAAATGAGTATTAGCAGTGCCAAAATGTTACAATTCACAAAAGTTAGTAAAATGCAAAGAGTAATAACTTACAGCCCAGGAAATTCAAGGTTATTTCATACCCAGGTTGCTATGGGAGGAATGGACTGATGAAACCCAGCATGATTGAGTTTCTCACTGTGCTGCAAATTTTGAGGCAAGATTTGAAAATGGGGTTTCAGACTTCGATCCCAGCAAGCAGTACCATTACTGTATTTTCCGGCAGCAGGTATGTGCATAGTTAGCAAATATTTCCAGCCTATTTCCTCCATGCCAAACTTCGGTTCTGCCCTTAGGTTGGGCAATCTAAAGGGTAAGACATTTCATAATTCACCAGTGGCTTGTGTTCTCACTAAAAATTTGTGATGCAGTGTTCAGTGTTGGGTTCAAGTAAGTTGGGCTCAGAAAGTAAGGGGAAGCAGGAGGGCCTGCAGATTTGGGGCTACATCTTGGGAGGCACGCAGAGTCACCAAAGAGTTTAGAGCAGGAAAATGAATTGATCTTATTTGGAAAATGGACTGGAGGACTAGTGGGGATGGCAGAAGGGGAGCTGTGAATGGTGGAGTTAAACAGATTTCTCGCCTGGGTACTTGCCATAGACAGTGGAAGTAATTCATATTAAGTTAGAGCTCATAAGTATGAGATGGAACCAAAGTGTTTCACATAATTTGGTAATTTTTTTTAAATTTTAGAACCAAACTACACTTTGATTTGTTAACATTTTATAAAATCACTTCAAATTTTTTATAAGAGGCAGCCTGGCAGAGGCACTGTGCCCAAGACTTCAGATCCTGCATATATGGATAGCTCTGGGTAAGTCAAAGTCAGACTAATAGTCAGTGTTGAGGGCACCTAACAAAGAACGAGGAAATGTAAATTAAGAAATGGGTTTTATAGTTAAAAAGCACTTTGGGGAAAAACAAACCTCCCCTCCCTTTTTTTGGCTTCCTAGCAATTCATTTTGCAATTTAGATCTCTTTTACCATGAATTCTATGCTCAGAGGCACCAAACTTTTCCTAGTTGTCAGGTCTGATGGTTTTGGCCTAGGTTCTGATCTGGTAGTGACCTGGCTATGTGACCTTAGGCAAGTTACTCTACTTCTGGGTCTCAATTTTGTCACCTCTTAGTTGGAGATAACAATGTCTTCTACTAGAGTTGTTAGGGTTAAATAGCAACTCCTGTCATAGAATAATACATGTTTCTTTTTGGAAGTTATGGAACTAGATTTTACAATTAGGTCATTGTCTTCTCTCCAAGTGGCATTGTAAGCTTTTGAGGGAGTCTAGCTTTTAAATCAGGCTGCCTTTGCAGCCATTCTTTTAATATCCAGGGAGCTGATGGTGAGGCTCTCTGGGGGTATTCAGGCCATGAAACAGCTGCAGGAGGCAGGCCTGCTGAGACAGGCCTGGTGAGGCGGTGGGGTGGGTCCTGCCTCCCACCTCCCTTCTCTACTGTCACAGTGGTGAGAGACTCACTGAGAAGATTTGCACCTGCTGGGGGCCCCCAGTGGAAACTATTCCCAGCTGGAGCCCCTCCCCAGGGTTGAGGAATGGTGATTGTATTACAGTTCATAAATCAGGCCTCCCCACTGGCTAAAGAGGAAAGGCCAAAATTCTTTGCCCAATATGTGTCTCCCCCTCCAACTCCATCCTGTGATTCAGTCCCTCCTCCATATTTAGCCTCATCTTGTTCCTAACTTAGGCATCTGTAACAGGGAACTGCTTGTAGTCTCTATACCATGCCAACCCTTCCTCCCAAAGTAACGACCTGTTTCTTACTGCCATGATTTTGTGATGCTGGTTCTTCTGTCTAGGATGTCCTTCTGCCTTTTAAGTAGAATACTCTTTACCTTTGGCTCTGGATGTGTTCTTTCATCTCCCAGGCTGGGCTAGAGGCCATCTCTGCCCGCTAGAGCCCCAAGTTCCCATCCATCCCAGCACTGATCACAGTGTATTATCATGTGTGTGATTATGGTTGCACTTCCCACAAGACATGGAGAACAGGGATTGAGCCAGTTTCACCTCTGTCCTCAGTGTGCAGAGTGAGCACAGACAGTAGCAGCCATCACTGGTTGCCTTCTGAGATGGCCAACACAAGCTGACACCTTACCTTAGCAGTCTCCTCACCACCTCAAGACAAATCAGGAGGCAGTACAGTCTGGGAAGCAGTGTATCAAGAAAAGCTCCTGTCTATGCTGGAACCGGCATATCATGCATGGAGCTTGTACTCTTTATCTAGCTCTCTCCAGGAAAGTGTCTTTTAAAAGGGTGTTTGAAATAATGAAGGAAAAAGCCCAAGAAAGTTTGCTACCTGGCAACCTAGTAGGCTCAATAACTCAACACCAACAAACCAATGTTAAAATCCTCATGGCTAAAGAATTGCAAAGAATATTTCTTCTTAAAATACTAAGAATTGATGGTCTTTGCTCATTATTAAAATCACTTGTTTTCATATTGGTCTCCCTGATTAAAATTCATGAATCTCCAAACTTCAAGAAAACTATTCTCCTTGAAATCTGTCAAGTAGTTCTTATCCCTGACAGCAGCAGTGACCCTTTAAATTCTTGGGGCATCTGTTTAAAATGGAGATTTCGGGGTATACCTAGATCTACTGAATGAAAATATGTATCTAAAAAAAAAAAGCAAACTCTAGGAGATTCTTACGTAACTTAAAATAGATGACCCTGGGCTCTGTAGCTTCAGCACTCTGTACAACAGTCCCTTCAAAATACTCTTCTTTCTCGGCCCTCCCTGGTGGCGCAGCGGATTAAAGCACTGCACTGAGAAGCTAAAGCCACTTCCGCATGAGTTTG